AAATTAACAAAAGACACTTTATTGAAGACAAACGATGGTAACATTTAGGATTTAACATTTCAGAAGAAAAAGTATGTATTTATAGTTTGTCATGATATTTGGCAAATGGGCCGTCTCTGCTTTTGCGCATGTTACTGGTCATGCATCTAAAAGGTGCTTGTACTGATTTATCGCTTTTCGTTTTCGAAGCTTGTAACAGAAAGAATGACTTTACTTCTAAATTATGTCATAGCTGCTGGATTTTATCATGGCTTCAAGCGACCAGCACCACATATATATATATAAATAATGAAAATATAATGAAAGCTGACATTAACTGTATTGAAACAAACTTAGAAGTAATGATACTGTAGAAACAGTTAATGACATAGATGGAGAAAAAGGCATTTTGTTATTGTAATGAAAAAGTCATTGCAATATTGATGGTGTAGCATGTAGATAGATAGCATAGAATGTTGAATTCATGATGGACAGCAGGAATTTGAATTGCATAAAATGTTGAAATGCTGATCCATAATGAATAGGAAATTGGCAGATTAAATCTTCAATTTCATTTCAGTAAACATGTTGCAGCCACAAACAACTTGGTAGACTGTGTTTTCCTATTTCAAAATGTTTACATTTTTTATAACTTTGCAATAAAAAGAAAGCAGCAGTCCAGCTAGGCCAGCATGTAGAAAGCAAGTGTTCAGGACTTTTTCTTAATCAAGATGTAGTGAATTTTGGTTCTTAATGCATTTTAATTTGATAATTAATACTGCTGTAAAGTTATTATTTTTGGCTGTTTTAGTTCCATTAAAAGTTATATGAGATGCATTAGTCTCAAAATGACACAGTGCAGAGATTGCTGTTTTTAGAATAGAGAGGGCAAATAAATTTAATTTTAGCATTAGGAGGCTGTTGCTAATTATATATATATATATAAATGTTGTATGATCTTAAATTCATTTAGTGCGAAAACAAGTTACTACTACTTGTGCAATTGCTGCACAAGTAGTAGTAAGTTAATAATAGTTTATTTACTAAAAAATATTGATTAATTGATTCTATTATCTCCTAAGTTTAATTATAATTATAGTAGGATTATCTTAAAAGAGTGAATCCATACTAGTAAGTTATATTTTGAAAGATGTTTTGAAGTAACTTGAAAGTAAAATGTTAAAAATGTTTTAACGGGGACTGGAATTAAATCATGAATAACAAAATTTCAATTGTAAAAGGAATAAATTAAAGGCAAGAATTAAATGCATGTAATCATTGTCATTGATCGGAAATTAGTTGAGTTTTCAAGGGGAACAAACCAACTCCCATTCAATGAATAATAATTAATAAATAAATATGAAGGTGTTTCGTCTTTACTCGAGCAATAAGGCTAAGCCAAACCGGCAATTCAAGTCAGGCCAAATATTTCTGTGAATAGAAGGGATTATGAGGCAATGCTGATACTCAAAGAACTTATTCCTATTAACTCTTTAACTGTCAAGTTATTTTGATGATTTGGGTACACAAATTGTCAAATTTTTTTATTGGAAAAATCAAATGTTTAGTACAAAATAAAATATATTTAAGTAGTTAAAAATTGATATTTTGAAGTACATGGGTTTTGTAGCCACTGCATATTGCTTGAGGCGGCTGCCACTCAACATGGCAGTTTAAAGTTCGCTTCTAGTGGAGCATTATTTTTTTCTAAAAATGAAAAAAAAAATAATTATTATTTTCTAAAAATAAATAAATGAAAAAAATAAGTAAATAAAAGTGAATATCATATTAGTATTTCAGTAATTCAGTCTTGTGTGGTACAACTGGAAACACTTTTCCAAGCACAAACCAACTCCACTAATCACAACACCAGATTCGTGGTTTCCTTCCTTATCTTTTCACCATTTTTATCCTTTTTCGAACTAACACACTTTGCACTGTCCTGTGTAGGTTCCACGTTTCCACAGGAGTAGAAGGAATACGGGAAATAAAATGTTGTTCAGTAAGATGGGCAGTGGTTATCTATTGTAGGTGGTCTGCCAACATTCTTTTGTCCAGAAGCTGCATCATCCATATTTATGTAAAAGCTCTTCTACAACTTGGAATCGAAATTTTAAAAATGTAATACATTTTTCAACTACATTTTATAGAGCAAATATGAGTTCCAGAGTACCTTGTCTAGTAAATGTAAAAATATCTTTTTATAATATATTTTCTGACGTTTTCGGATTGATGGATGAAAGGATATTTCCTGCTCGCAGCGATCTACACCACCCATAGTTAGACAGTAGTCAGAAACAATCTTCAGCTTGAGTATATCTTCAGTTTTTTTTATTTTTGAGGCTGACCATGGAAGTATCACGAATACTGCTTGTCAAACACACATCCTTCATCTCCGGTTGAAGAATCTGAATCATCTGTATAACGTTTCAAAGAACTGGACGCCATTTTACAACAAAAAGATCCTGTGCACTTTGAACCAAAGAACTTATAACCTTTAAACTTTGAAATCTTCAGTAAAGGTGCTGTGATCTATTGAATTGAGCGCTCATTAACTTTTCCCAAGATACAGTCGCGTTGACAAAGAGATGAAGCGGAAATAAACGTCTTTCGATGTATATTCGGGTATAACAATACAATGCGCTCAAAAAAAATGTACCCCGAGTAATTCCTGGGCGTGACATTTTCGAACACCACTCGGGCATGACAGTTAAAAGGTTAAGCATTTTAGCCAGTTCAATTTTGAGTGAAAAGCATTTTCTGCAGCAAATTTCTATAAAGCTCGAGTAACCGTCCCCTGACACCCTCGTGTTGATGCATTTGAAATCAATATTTTTTGTAAAAATTAAACATTGGAAATTGTCATTATGAAGTAGAATTCAAAGAAGTTAATATAAACATAAGAAAATTACAAACAAGATAAATAATGCAAACTTTGCAAAAACAAATCAAAAATAATATAAAAATAAAAAATATAATAAGAAAAGTGAATGTACATGAAGATATAAGGGCCAGAAAAAGTATTAATTAACTTACGTTCTTTCTAGTGGTGAGTGGGCAAAGTGTTCTCTTCGCGTCTGACTCAGAAGTGTAGTGTTTCCGAAAAATTCTTAGCAGCAGTGGGGGCTTTGAATAATATCAGTCGGTAAGGTTTGGGTGAAGTAATTTATGGTAGTGGGTGGGACTCGGAATTGAATTCTTGAGAGATGTATTCTGTGGAGTTCTTATTTTAATGAAACCTTCTGTTAAAATTATTCCGAAAATACTAGTGAATGGAAATTAATTAATTTCTGGCTAATTGTCGTGTTGAAACGATTAAGAATTTAAGAAAGGAAAAAAGGAATTTTCACTGTCAAAGAGCTATTTGACAGACTAAAGATTATGAAATGGGCCCTCTTTTTTTTTTTTTTTTTTTTAAAATAATTTATTTAGGTGATAATATAGTTCCTTTTAGTTTGAGCCAGAATAGACCTGCCTGGGGAGAAGCCAGGGGATGAGAGAGTCCGGTTTCCGCCCTGTTCCTGTTCCCGTCTTGTTGCGGATCCAGTCCTGATCCAGTCCCATTCCAGTTCCAGCCTGGCCGTTTAAGTCCAAAACATGTAGGAGCGGATGTCTGAATTCAGCGAAATGGAGATATACGCCGAAAGGGCTAGATGGATTCTGTCTTTTAAAGGAAAGTGTTCTTCACCATGCCGGCATAGCTGTTACTTTAAAGCACTTTGAAGTTTTTCCACCCAAGATGTTAAGTTTTTGTTTGTTGATGTTAAGTTTTTCATCAGTGTTTGAAGTTCCAGTTAAATAAACCTTTAAGTTTTAGACAAGGTTTTTGTGTTCTTCAGAAAATTTTTAGATTCGAGTCAGATACAGCACATAGGATATCATCGAAAAATCAACATTTGGCATAAATAATATAATCAATTAATCAATATTTTTTAGTAAATATATATATATATGTACGTGTGCATTTCTTAGCTAACAACACTTCTGTTTTTCTTGTCGTGACTTCTGTTCATCAGTTTTCCTAGTTTTTGATTTTTAGACTAAGGAAAGTTTTTTTTTTTTTTTTTTTTTTTTTTTTTTTTTAGCATATTCATGTTCATTGAATTAATGAAGCTTAATTTATTCTTTCCCCCACCCCTAATAGTTCTTAGCGTAAAATTTTTTAAATTAAATCTTATTTAATCTGTATTGTCTTAATCTACTGTACACATTTATAGAACTTTATATGAAGATTCAGGCAATGTTTAATCAGTAAATATGTTTAGAGTATTTATTCGTATATCTCTGTTGTGTACTTTTACCCATTTAAATTTTTTGTATGATTAAGAACTTCTGATTTGTAATAATAATGTAAAATGTATGCACAATTCAGAAAGTATTTTGTGTTAGTAAAAGGAACAGTATTGAAATTGGTGAGCTTTATGAAGTACATAATATAATAATATTAATCATCACTTTTTAATATGCTGTGTTTATCATTAAAGCCATCTCTTCAGAAATAATATGCACTGCATATTTTTCCCATTGTAGTTGTCAGCCGGTAAGATTAGTAAGAAAAAGGGGGAAACATGCAAGTATTTAATTTTGTTTTACATCAATATGTAGGACATTAAATTTATGCCACAATAATATGCACCTTAATTGTTAATTTTATTTTCACCGTCTTTAAATGTTTTTAAATTTGAAGGAATTAAAAAAAAATTACCTAATTTTTTTTTTTTTTTTTTTTCAATTTAAAGACAAGGAAAATTTTTTTGTCTCTTTTTTGATGAATTAAATCTTTCTTTTCCTACTCAGGATTTTCTGTGTTAAGTGTTAACAAAATAAAATTAACCAAAGGACCTGAAATTTAAAATTTTATATCAGAATCATATTATAAATAGTTAGGTAACCTGAATCATATGTTATAAAATGAATTTTAAGTCAGTTTGGCGTTCTTGAAGTGTTGGTACTGTGAAAGAGTTTTGGAAGCTATATAGTTTTATATATTTTAATTTCTTGTTTGATTATTTATCTTTTAGGCTACAGAATCTCAATGTCGCTTTGCAAAAAGAAGATCAGATTATTAAGAAGAATGTATTTATGAAAGAGGTAAGTTTTCAAACATTATGACATTTTATAAGTTTCAAATTTCAGTCTTGAACTGATGTATGTTACAGCTCATTGAAACAGTTCATTTAGTTAGGCCAAATTGTGTACAGGTTGGGATTTGCACGTATATTAGAATCAAAATTTCTTTGTCTATGAAATGCAGAAACTTGTGTATCTCTTAAAATCTATTACAAAGTATTATGCTTCTAAAAAAAGGTGTTGAAATTAATTAAAAAAAATTAACAATACCTTGTAAGATTATTAAGAAATGTTAGAATTTCTTCCTATATAACAGGTGTCCAAGGTTTTCTACTCTTGAACAATTGAAGTCCTGGGAATTTTGGCATTGTTCCGCATATCTGTTGGTTTCTGAAATGCAGAGACTCACATAATCATCATTCACAAGATACTCAAAATATTGCAAAACACCAGAATTTGGATCAAAATTTATATTTATCGTTGGTGTTCCCAAAAATTTTAAATGTGGATGTGCATGATCTGCTGAAGTATATAAAATTTTAGTCCATACTCATACAGGCAACAGTAGAGCTCCATCATCACTGTTTTCAGATTCACTATCCAAACTTTCATAAAAATCAGTTATTTTATAATCATTATCAGATCCATTTATACTAAAACTAGAATCCAAGTTACTTTCTGACTCTCATTCCATAATGTACACAATATTAAAAATATAATCATAGAACTCAAGCCATGTGCATTCTCAAGCTTAGAACACAAACCATGTGCATTCAAAAGCGTAACTCACTCAGCTAAACATTACAAAATACATATTAGACTAGTGCTGACATCTAATTTAAAATAAACCAACTCCAAATACATAAAAAATGGTCCGTGTTCCATCGGGTATGTAAAATAAGAAATTAAAAATTTTCTTGATACGAGAAATGGATTGTTTTAAATCTTTTTCGTGCACTTTTGAACACTCCAGCCTGGAAATAACATGGACACAAGACATAGAGTGTGAAACCTCACCCTGTAATTTTTACGGTAGCAAGAAGGAAGGGGTTAAAGTGTGAAAATTAGATGCCTGAGCTATCATGTCAGCTTTTACCATGGAATTAATAATTTCTAAAAACATGAAAGCATAATTATTACTACAGTTTTCTGGAATTTTAACATATTCTGCCATACAGTCATTTATATTTTAAATGGAGTGCAATGAGATGTTCATTTTAAATAAATATAAGTATATATGTAAACGTAAATATATTTTCAACATTTCTTACCTTTAATTTATTTTTGAGTTATGGCTGCATTTCATTTAATTTATTTTTGAGTTATGGCTGCATGCATTTTTCTCAACTGATATGTCATATATGAGGACTTAAGTTGAGATTTTGCATATATACGGCCCACGATGATGTCACGCGCAATTTAATCAATCGCAGCGTTTACGCTGATGCCGCGTTTCAGTGTAAATTAAATTTTTTCCCCGCTATTTTTCTCGAGTGCGCCGTTTACGCCGATGTGGCCTTTCTTCCGGAAATTACGGTAATTTGATTTATTTTAAAAGCATAAAAATGTATTTATTTTGATTAGTGGCATGTTTCTGTGTGTGCTTGTTAATTTTTTAAAAGCATTACTCACACTATTCAAAGGAAACTCTGTTTCATATAAATAATTATATTTGGTGGCCATTTTTACACTTTTGTTCGGAATGCAGTACTCGGTGCTCTTGAAAGAAAACTACAGCTTTTTTTTTTTCAAAGATAATAAAAAGTCAAACATGGTTGACATTTTAGAGGATAAATTAATAATGATGATTACAAAAGAATGAACAGTAGTACGAAGAATGTAATGCTGATTTTCAAATTAATTGAAAATTAAAAGATGCCAACATTTTTAAGGGAAAATAGTTAATGATGGAATGATATCAAGTGGTGAAAAGTGAGCATGAAAATAAAAAATATAGCAAAATAAATATCACAAAAAATTACTGCTTTTTTTCTAATTGATTAAGCTAAAATGCCTACTAACATTATAGAGGACAAAAAAATTGAATCGGTGATATCACGCTTGCAAATTGCATTAAAACAGTTTGAAAGTCAAATCTGTCGCAGGTAAAGAATCTGGGAATATATTTATCAAGCTTGGTGACTAAGCTTCCGATTTTGGTGATTGACCGAGGTGGCCAGCTTTAATCCTGAAATACCTTTTTCTGTCATATTTTACAACTTGAATAATATCTTTTGTATCTTTATATTAAAATTTGCTTCTGAAATAAATATGCAGAGCCTTTTGGAATTCTTAATGATTGGTGAGATTTGTGTAACTTTCGAGTAAATAATTGAAAAAGTTCAATAATTATTAACAAAAAATTTATCACTGAGTGTAGTTTTATTGAAGCTCTGGATGAAAGCATTGCTGTAATGGTTGTAAATGCAACAAAGTTGTAGCATTTAGTCAAAAGAGAAAAGGAAAGATTCTAAATAGATTTTCTCCACCTTTGACAAAGCTCTCAGGGGCTCATTTTTTGTGAGTGTGAGTGTGGTAATCTCAAGGTACCCTAACCCTGTAGGGAAGATGAGTGCAGAGTTGCCAACTCTCCCGATTTTCGACCGCTCTCCCGCCAACCCGATTTACAATATATTTCTCCCGACTTTTTCTTATTCTTAAAATTTCTCACGATTTTTATGGAACTTGGCTTAATGCTTTGTTATATGAACCCAAAAAAAAAAAAAAAAAAAAAAAAAAAAAAAAAAAAAAAAAAAAAAAAAAACTGATTTTGAACGTCTGAAAGCAATTGAATTTTCTCTAGCTTATATCTAAAACAAAACCTTGCGAATTAGATAACTTCTGCTTTGTGAGTGAGAGCATATATGTATCCAGAAAGGTCGTTCTCCAGTTCTCCAATGGGCATCGTGCTCCACTGCGCTCCACTGCAGGACATTTGACAGGCTTTAATATACCACAGCTAATTATTAAAACTTTAAAAGAAAATGTAGTCCCTCTGGATAATTGCTTAGCAATTGGTGCTGATAATACACCAGTATTGCTAGGCTTGAATACTGGTGTTGCAGGTATCTTAGGAAAATTCAGATTTGCAGATTATGAGGTGCACCTGTCACCCCTTAAATTTAGCAGCTGAAAAAAGGGAAGCTTCTTTACCAATAAATGTGGATGAACACATTGTTGAGATTTATTATTATCTTGAAAGGAGTTCTAAAAAGAAGGAAAAATTGAAACAGTTCCAACAGCTGCATAACAGCAGTTTACAATTAGAGAACTTGGATGAAGTTATAAAATCAGCTAAGATTGACACCCAGTGGAGTTTAATTAGAAACCTGAAAGATGCTGATGGAATTTTGAAATATAATGAACTGTCTAGAATTATGTTGGCCATCTTGACAGTTCCCCATAGTAATGCAGAGTGTGAGAGGATTTTCAGTGTTGTTGCAAAAACGAGGACTAAATTTAGATCTAATATTCATGATGACACATTAGAAAAACTTTTATTAGCGAAAGCAGGCCTACGTGGCAATTGCTAGGAACAAAATTATGATGTTTCTTTCTTAAAGAAAGCAAAATCTGCCACTGTTTATAACATTTGTACGAAAACTGATTAAAGTTTTTTTTTTTTTTTTTTCGTTTTCTTAAACGATTGCAAGTAATAAAAATGTTTTTTATGTGTAAGATATTTTTGTGTTGCTTGCATTTAAGAATTAGTTACTATTTGAAATTAATTCATTATTAAAAAATATATTTTCGTCATTTAAAGTCTTTTTAACATTGTGAAATATCTCCCGATTTCTTAAAAAAATCTCCTGATTTTTGAAAGTCATAGGTTGGCAAGTATGCGAGTGTCACGATCCTGGAGCCCACTGCTCTTACCTCTTATCTTTTTCCCCTCCTCTCAGCTACTATGTTTAAAGGCTATTTTTAAGGTACAAATCTCTGTCACAAAATTACTTTCTGACGAAACCGCTTGCATGCTATGGCACGTAAAAGGATTTCTGTAGTGTCTCATGTCTTAGATGGTGGTGCATGCCACTAATAAATAAAGTATAATGGCTGCGCTGAAAACTGCTTGCTAAATGTAAAGTAAACATTAAGAATTTTCAATAATTGATTACAATTATAATGTAAATTTGCAAATGATAATGTAAAAAATAATGTTTAAAATGTAATATATATTTTAAAATAAATGTATGTTTTTAATGAATATCTGTCGATGATGTGTTTTTAAATGATAATGTTTAATATGTAAAATGATAATGTAAATAAAAAAAAAGTTCATCTCAAATGAATTTTAAGACAAAAAAAACTAAAAAAAACTTACCATAATACTTAAAAACTTAAAAGTTACTTAAAAAATAATTAAATTTAAAAAAAAAATTAAATCTAAAAACTATTTCTATTAGCTTGATTTGTGCTAAAATATATGAAATAAAATAGTGACTTCTTGTCTTCAACACTAAAAAATTGTAGTTGCTCTAAATTGCTTTATAGTTATGTCAATTCTAAAGCAGCCAATAAAATTTAAACTAAAATTTTAAGAAAAGAAGAAATAGGTGGTATAGTAGAAGCTATTCATACAAAGCTTTATATAACATTGATAGTAAAAGCTATTCATACAAAGCTTTATATAACATTGATAGTAAAAGCTATTCATACAAAGCTTTATATAACATTGATAGTAAAAGCTATTCATACAAAGCTTTATATAACATTGATAGTAAAAGCTATTCATACAAAGCTTTATATAACATTGATAGTAAAAGCTATTCATACAAAGCTTTATACTGAGTATTTCTTCTTCGCTCAAAATTTTGAAAATTTTGTTTATATTGTATTCCTATTTTTCTTGCATGTGGTTTTTATATTGAGAGGTTGGGGCTTATTATGAAATGCTATGACAGCTCTTGGGTCTAGCTTGGTGAAGAGAAAACTGTCCACATGTTTGCTGCATGCAGACCTGTGTCGTTGGAAAGGAGTGTCTTGTTAGTTGAGGGGCATGATAGTATCCCTGACATACT